ATTATTGTTATTATTGTTATTATCATTAATATTTCTGCTATCAATAATCACAATGATGTCTCCTATCCGTTTTTCCAGTCTCAATTCGAGTTACACGTAAAGATTCTGAGAGGATAATTGTGATTTATTGAAACATTTTTGATTAACAGTTTGTTGTCTGTCTGTGCTTTTTAACAAATTACAGCTTATCCAATGCAAATAAAAAAAACAAAACAAAACATCTGTGGGTGCAGTAAACCAGAAAGAATAATTTTTAAAACAAAAATATCATTGAGGAGGAAAAAGATAAGACGGAATAAAAGGATTTAAATTCTATTGGTTGTACATTCAAACCATATGATTTGTTATCAATATTGCTAATACCAAACTACTTGTTGAAGGTCATACGTGCTATCACTTGTAACCTTTCAGAAGTTGACTTATTACAAAAATTTTTAGAAAATTTCTATAGAACTTATTGTTTTTTTTTTTTGTATATAAAGGTGAAAGTGGGTACGAAAGGTCAAGGAGTAAGATTCACTGTTGTGTTTCATTCAGTTAATTAATTCATTTATTAGATGAACAATGTGGTGGAGATGTATTTTCTGGCATTAAGGTGTATTTCCCTGGTATTTCTAACGTCAAAAAATTTGGCAGATTAGGGAAAAAACTTTCACTTTGATTCCAGCCAATATTATATACAAGAGATCTTAAATCGTGTAATTACTTCTGATCCGGTGAATGGCAGCAAGTAATAAGTAAATAACAAAAGGAATAAAGCTTTTATTTGAAATCTAAAATTCTGAAAAATTTGTAAAAAATAAACTTAGGAAATTAAGGTTGAAGTGATTCCACAACTTTTTAAAAGTAGAAATTAGAAAATGCTTCAAGTTAGAAAGTATCACATGAATGAGGGCGTACCGGTTAGCTGATCGGTGCTATATGTTTGAAGATGCAGTATCAATGATATCTTAAGCATTTCAGGATTCTTCACTTTTTACCAAACTGGATAAAAAACAATTGAATTCCATGAATTAATATTCATGTCTGGTGAATTGTAATTCTCAAAGGAATAATTATTTGAGGTAAGTCATAAAGAAAAGGATATGAATGTAGCCATAATGAGACGGGAAATTTTTAATGAAGGACAGTTGTACTGATGCTGAAACAGGAATAGTAAGACATGTGGGACAGAAGGGCTGCGACATAAAATACTCCTTCCTACTCAACTTTCAAAAACCATTGTCATCATTCATTTCTGTTGAGGTTGGGATCGTTTGCAAAGCCTAATGTCATTCGTCATTTGGGTTATTCCCTAATATTTACATATTTTGATTTGTACATAATGAAAGTTTAAATTAATATAATCCGATTAAATATAATAGTTTGGAATGAATGTGAAATGAGTTCGATGAAAAGAGAAAAGTTTTTAATATTCTTAAATCTTTTCCTCAATCTTTCCTTCACTTTTTGCACTTTTTGCTTTTTTCTTCGAGAGAGTTATGGTAATGATATTATTAAAATTAACAAAATGTCGTCCATTTTAACTTGACATTTTTCCTTTTTGTCGAATCTTCTTTTTCTTTCTTGATTTTTGAATTTTTCGCATTTTTTCAAAGTATTTCTCTATCCTTTTAACAAAAGAAAAGGATTCTGAAAAGAAAAAGAAATTTCGTCCTATGAATGCAAACATTTGAACAAATTCAAGCCTAAACCATTTCAAGATTAGTATTAAAGAAGGAAAAAAAAAATGTGAAGAGAGAGAAGAAGTGGAAGAAGATCTAACCAATTTATTTTTTGTGACAAATTCATCTAATAGAAAGAATGTCTATTCTTGCAAATTTTCTATAAATTTCAGGAAGAACATGTTGGAATGGGCAGGAGAGGTAGGGACAGGACAGGACAGGAGAGGACAGGAAGGGGACAAGCCGACAAGAGTCGGTTACATAGTAAAGAAAGTAAACAATAATGGAATAGAAATCAATAAATATCGCCTAAATGGCTAAAATGGCTGAATTCCTCTTTTCATTCATTTTGACGTACACGGACGTCAAACAATCGAATGGAAAGGATGGGAGAAGTGGCGGTGACACTTACTTGAAATATTGACATTGCATATTTACTTGAGAGGAGAAAAAGAAATTTGTTTTGAGGAATGGAAGAGAATGTAAAGGATTGAATTTCTTCTGCAAATTATTCATCCCAAGAGAATTATGATTCAAACAAAATACTTAAACAAGTTAAAATGAATTTATAAATTGTTTCGCGAAGGTAAATTTCCTGTAAACCTGGAACCACGTAGTTGTGGTGTATTGACAACGTAATCACGCAATTCATACTACTCATTCTGTACCTTAAGTAAATTATGAAAATTGCATAAAAGAAATCAACATAGTACCGAATGTGTCAGTTTTATTTTTTTTAAATGAAGTTAAATTAATTCATAGGATAATTCGTGATGTCCTGAATTTAGGCGCTTTTTCAACATCCAATATATATCAAACTGAAAAAGAGAATAATTTGGCCAAATTTCTTTTTTTCTAAGAAAATAGATGAAATGAAAAAAGTATTAAAATGGGAATTTCAACAAAATACAAGATGAAATGGTCAAGTTTCATCCATCATTTTTCAACTGATTACACTGAAATACATATGGCTGAATCATATTGGCGGATAATAGGAATAAATCTTCTAAATCATAATAGTGAGAAATGTAAAAATCCAAAGTTTCGAGGAAGTGTTTGTCCAGAACTTGGAGTTAACGTGTAATTGGGCAGTTATTAAGAAAAGTGATTAAGAAGAACGTGACGTATAAAGTTGTCTCACACACAATGAGACAAATACTCATTTGACTAAACAAACGAATTCAAATCCAATCAAGTAATTTACTTTTCACATTCTTTCATGCTCATAAAATCTTTCCAATAGGATAATTCGAATTCGAACTTTAATTTCGTGACCGGAATTGACTCTTTCAAAGTGATGTTATTATGCTTAGCCATCTAGTTAAAATTCATTTACTAAAAATGAAATTGAACTGTCTGGAAAATCCGGCTCAATGTGAATTTTCCCTCAAATTGGACTTTTAAAATTTCTGTGATATCGAAAATCTGATTTTATTTTAAGCCTTACATTTGAGCTCAAAATAAATTACTGATCACCACGGTGCTTGTTCTATGTGTTAATCTCATCCGTGCCACCCGTGGATTTCTTCGTAATTTAGACGAAGAACAGATGTTCAGCAGAATTCGTCCTGACGGAAATAAATAATGAACATAATTTATTAAGAGTTTGAGCTAAAGTGTAAAATAGAATCATCTGTCTTTCTGTTTTCAATTCTTTCGTGAATTTTAAATCAAAAAAAGATCTCTCCGAAATCGAAGAATTCTCGATTACGATTAAAAGTTATTGGAATTATTATTTTTTCACATACCGAAAGATTACAAAATATCTAATAAATTCATTTTAAATTCATTTTGGGTTGAAATTAAATTTAAGCTTATAGCCTTATTTTTCCTTTTCACTGGTTCAAAACTTCAACTCTTTAAAGTTATTTGAGCAAAAATTAATCCTTAAACAAAGGAATGTACGGACAGCCTGTTTTCTTTTTTTATCAAACTTCTTCCTTTCCTATCTGATTACTGATGAATAAATTGGAAAGAAATGAACATTTCGATATACGGTACAAAAGAAATGAAAGTTTTCATGAACTTCAAAATTTCTGATCAAGAAATAGTAAAACAGAAGCAGCGTTAAAGTTCTCCTATGACTCATACACACAAATACAGCAAACCGAATGAGTGAATTCATAAATTTTGCAACTATTATTTATTGGGTTATAAAATTTTGTATCTAAAACGGATTGTACACGTAATGACAGTTACGAGATGTAAACATAGGTATATATACATATAACACAAACACACACACACACACACACATTTGTATACACGTACACACATATGCATATATATACACATACACATGTACATACATATACACGATAGTTTGTATGAACTTAAAACAAAAAGGAAAATTGATAAAGTATTGTATAGCTAGTGCACTTTTCTTTACTTTCTTCAGCACTGATCGAAGTATTATTTTCATATTTGGATAACTAATGATCAATCAATAATTCACTTTTGAAATTGTATTTCATAGAAATTCATTTAACATTTTTCAACGATGTTCACAAGACAAGAAATGTAATAGTATTGAGTTGAAATAAATTTGCTATTGACGAGAATACCGTAAAATCTGTAAAAAGAAGAGCGGAATTTGAGACATTTTGATGGGAGAAGAATGAAAAATGAAATGATTCGTGAAGTGATGATTGCGCTTTCCGCCAAACAGTTGCAATTTCAACGTGTTCGAAAAGAAGAAGATGGACGAATTCATTGATACTCAAACAGCTGCTTCTCCTTGCCAGTTTGTTTCTTAAAATAGAATAAAAAAAAAAATTTGAAAGACTAAGATTAAGAAATTTCCGCTTTTGATTAGTGCTTATCATAATTGTTACTCGTATCGTGATATGATCATGATATTGATAGCGGTGGTGATAAGAATGTTTCAAACAACAACTAGCTATTATTCCATGCTTTAAATGAGCACTTTCCTCAAAACGAAGTAATTTTATTTCCAGACCAAAAAAAAAAAAGACAAATTTGATTAGGCTTACATATTATTCGTTATGTGAATCAATCGTAATCATAGTTACGGTATCATAAACAAGATCATATCCTTTGGAATTTTAATTCAAATTTATTGACTCAGGAAGTGGTTAGTTTTATAACATTCATGCGGAGTGAAGCAATGTTTCAATGATATTATCAGGTAAACGGTTAATTAAAGTTAACAATTGTTACAATTATGAAGCAAATATGAGATGTTACTTTTGATTTCGTATATTTTTTCTTGCGACATCTTCAGCGATCACATATGTGTCTAGTGCTGTATGCAAGTCAAGAGTGATAACACCAGCGGCTGTTATCACTGATAGTTTATCAATCTTACTCTCTTGCATATTGTATGCATCCATAATTTGCTGCAAATCACATTGTTTGTACTCTTTTGCGTGATTATCGAACATTTACAGATGGTATTGTGAATAATATTTGATAGCCTGAAATATCATAAATAGGCCCGGAATATCAAGGCTTTTTGCAGACTTTCAATCCTTTTGATTATAAACTCTCAAGGGACTCATGGAGCATTAAAGAGAAACGATGGCAAAGTCTTGAAGATATTGAAGAACGCATTCATTTTTTGGATTCTTCTACTTCGCAAGATATTTTATGGTACATGAAGAGGGGTTATAAATTTTGAAAAGTTGAAGTGATCATAGATTTTATACTTAGAATTTTATAATCATATCAGCAAGTTCACAACAACGGTCATATCGGTCAAATCAGCATATCAGCAATCGTATCAGTTATATCAGCATATTACCAATTATATCAGCAAATCATATCAGCAACAATATATTTTACTACTCTCTGCTTTACTCATTTTCATCTTCGAAACTAATTTTACTCATGAAAAAAAAAAAACATATTATCCGCGAATTGTTAAATTTTTACTAACCATTATGACATTAAATTATAAAATTTTCCCTAAACAACAAATTCCTTCTACCAGACAATGTGGACAAATGCGCTTACTGTATCTTCCTTTTCATCTCAACTCCTCTAGTTTAATAAGGAGTAATGAGAAATATATGTGGTTTTTCCATAACAGTAAGTTATAATACCAAAAAAAAACGAATAAAGTAAAACTTATTCAGTGATAAACATCCCCCTTAATTAATTAGGCTGAATAACCACTGTGTAAAAGTTTCCAAAATTGCTGTTTAATCTTTTTTACAATAAAGCTTTTCTTCAAATATGAAAATTGAAAAAATCTTATACATTAATATTCCAGTGCCGACGGTTAGCGATCAAACTTTTAAAAGATGTTTTGCCACTAAAAAGATTTAACATAATAGCACTACTAACGCTGGACGAGCGGTTATTTTTTGGCAGCATCAAAAATTTGACACATTAAAAACTGAGCAATCCTGTAACCTTGCTATAAGAAAAAATTCTTCTGAAATGCTTTATTACCCTGGTCATCGAGACAGTTGTTGTTTTTTTGTTTCGAATCGATAGAAAACATCAAGGAATTCGATGGTACCATGAATCTGAAATTCGAATTTAATTCGAATTTGTTAAAATTCAAAAATTTTAAGTAAAAACTTAAGTGGTAAATTTTTGCAAGCGCTTTTAAATGTAATTTGAAAAAAAAAGTCTGAAATCTCGCAGTTTAAAAATATCCTTGCAAAATTAAAATAAACGAAAAACGAGTTTTTGGTGGTTCAACAATCCGAAAATCCTCATGGCTAAGCCTAAATCTATGGAGACCGGTTCTATTTGAAATTCATTATGATTCACAAACGCATATTTGCCTCACAATTTTTTGTTTTTTTCTATGAAGAACAAATTCATCCACAATCCACAAAGGTTGCCAAAGGAATGTGCCTTACTGTTTCGGGAAGAAATTTCCAGGAATGTGCCTTATTGTTTCAGGAAGAAATTTCCAGGAATGTGCCTTATTGTTTCAGGAAGAAATTTCCAGGAATGTGCCTTATTGTTTTAGGAAGAAATTTCCAAGAATGTGCCTTATTGTTTTAGGAAGAAATTCCCAGTCCGAATTCTGGAAATTTCAAATTTTTTGTTGAAAATTTCTTGAATAACGAAATTTGTTTGCATAGCGCATGTGCACAAAATGCCGAATAATTCATTCATACTGGGATATTAAAAGAAAGGGTGCAAAGGGTAGATAATGTGACAGGCGACTCAAAACATCGTTGATACTTTGATGCGATAGCAAATGGCTCATGTTCATTTTAAAATCATCCAAACGTGATTTTTTTTTTGACAATGTTTAACATATTTCATTGTACGGAATATACTAAAAGTTCGTGTGAGTCCATCCGTATGATTCATGAAGTTGTGAGAGATCCAGAAGTTTTCGCATGCGTCTATTGTGACGATGGTGAGAGAATTACGCCAGATTATAGAATTTTAAACTGACCCATATGTGACCCATCTAATGACCCATCTAATTTGCTTACGGAATAAAACAGATGAAAGTAAAATCAAAGTTTGAATATAAAAAAACAAAACCATAAATTTATTTGAAGGAGAATTTAATTAACGATAACTTACTGCTTCTGTCATCACTTTCGTCACCAACTTACAGTTTTTCTGTAGCATCCCTAACTTTATCAGATAGAAAAGATGATAGATGGATGAAAAGATGCGACAACAGTCAATAAAATGTTATTATTTGAATTGATGGCTATTTATGTGTCACGCAGTAAGGTCTGACGAAAAAGGAATGATGAAATTGATTGTTAATTATTTCCTCCTCCTCTCTTCCTCCTTCCCTTCCTCCTTCCCCTTTCTGTTCTTCCCCTCCCCTCCTGTCTTCCTCCCTTCCTTCTACTCCTCCCTTCTCCCTTCCTCCCGCTGCTCCCCTCCGCCTGTCCCTCCTCCCCTTCTCCTGCTCCTTCCTCCTCTTCTCCTGTTCCTTCCTCTTCTCTCTTATTCCTCCTCTTCCATTCCTGGTTTTTTGAACCGAAAGAACTCACTTTGTGGAAAAATATTGATTACATTGATATATCGAGACAAATAATTGTATGCTTCTAGTATTGTCACAGCTTTGTCATCATTTGAATCAGCGCACTTAAAAATGCTAGCATTTCTTGCATATGCAATAAGTGCTTGTTTGGCGTCTTTGGCATTTCGGATTTGAATTGCAAATGACTTAGGAATGTATTCCTTAAATTCATAATTGCTTGTTTCCTCCCACAAACAACCCTTGGATTTTACAAATGTGACTAGAAAATAAATCCATGCAATTTCCCATTCATGCAAGCATTTATCGATCGATTTATTGGAAGATTTTTTTGAAATCGGATTCCCCTCGAAATTTTGCAGATTTACCTCATCATAATGTATTTCAACGCCCATTTCAATAATAGCATTTGCAAAATATTCATCGTTGTCAACTTCATCGTCACTGCTGCATGTGTCATTGTCAGAAGTTGACAGATCACCGACAACACCGCTAATCAGTTATTCAAATTCTGAAAAGTAAAATTGTTCCAATCAAGCAGGAAAAGGAAAAGGCATTCTCTGTTCTATCCCTGAAAAGAATTTGAAAAATTGCACAAATTCATTACATTTATAAATCTATCGTCCAGATTCACTTACCAAATATATATATTCTAAAGCGTGACATGAATCATCACATAAGCTGTTACCTGTTCATATTAAATTCTTTGACAGATTATTTCTACTTTATGAATTATCTCCCAGAATGTTAGAAGAGAATTAACATGTTCAATCATGAAAATCTGAGTTATCGATAATTTAGCTAACAGATTAACTTTTCGAAATAGAAGCACGAAAGTATTATACCATCATCATCGATATACCTGATGGTTCCTGAATTAAATTAAAAATTGCGTTTTTAATACGAAATATTCTCCTATTTTCTCTCATCTGATCACTTCGATCATTAAGTCTTCAACTACTACATTCATTCTGGAACAGTTCTGTATCCAACGTATGGAAATATTCATGACCACTAGATTTATTATATAAAAAAATGACCTTGAAAGTTAAGGTCATCACTACATCTTCAGTGAAGATCAATCTCTTGTCCTTGATAACATCCTTTTCCTGAAATTATTCCTTTAATCATTCATTCATAACTTTAAAATGAGATTTCATTCACTTCAATGAGAAAAGGAAAAATATTCTGCAATTGAAAAGTGGCCGCTTTTACATTAATTTGAAAATTATTTTTTCTAAATTCGTGAAAAACTTTTAATAAATAAATTTTCTAAACATTAATCTTATATCGATTATCAAAAATATTTCTTAAAATATTCATTTAAAAACTTTCCTAATTTGGTGATACAAATTAATCACCGAATTTCATGAAAAGCAAAATTTAACTCGTCCTTATCTTGATATTTATACTAAATGTACAAATATAAATGGGGAATGTTATCATTTTGTTAGTGGAACCTGTAAATATACCCAAGTTTTATAATATGGCAAATTTTACAAAGGAATCGAGATTTAGTATTCGTATTACTTAATTTCTGAAATACAGCAATTTAGGTTTATTCAAAGGAACAATTATCACCTGATGTTTCAGAAACATACCGTTACTCGATTAACAGGAATTTACCTGAAATAAGTATCGCAGCAGTTCTACCGATTCTATCCGTTGGATAGGCTAACAGTCGTGTCTAGCTAATCATTTAAAAACTGAAGTTGGTACATTCGGTAGTACTGCGGAAAAATGTATATCCTGAAAATTTCAAACTTGTAGGAAAATGAAAATTCGACTGCTACTACTTTCCGTTTGGAGTGGTTATAATTTTTTAATTTTTGACCGCTTCCAGCGAATTTATTCATTCTTTAGAATATAACTGAACTGAGATGAGTGTATGATAAGATATGCTGATAAGATAATATGCCTAACAAAGAAAAGGAAATGAAATGAAGTGAACTAAATGGTTGCGAATGAAGCGCACTTTATTATATTGAGAAGTCGCTAACAAAACGTTCCTCATAAATACAACTAAAATAAACTTGCTGGAAATTACTCTCTCTTCCAAACATGTTTTTATTTCTTTCAATATATCAGGCCTAATAAGAAAAAAAATGTGAAAAAAGTTTTTCGAATCAATGTTGCCGTTAACATTTACTTAATTACTTAATTAAAAATTCCCTCTTGAAAATTCCCATCATTATTCTAATTATCCTAATGAAAAAGTAGTTTGAATCAATTTGTTTTTTAGTTAAGAGTGATATGTAAACCTCAAAGAATTCACAAATTTTTTTGTTTATATCAGAAAATCTGCAACCTGTAACATTAATATTTGTAATATATTCAAATGTTATCATAAAATTGATGGCCTTTATCAAATTAGTTAACAACTTTTGCATCGAAATTCGAATTTCATTTTTCAAACATTTCCCCAGAACATATGATTCCTGACGAAAACTTGTCACTTCTGCTTGTTGTGCTGTATTAATCAGTCAGATCAAATTATTTGATGGTGAGCTTTGTGACAATTTTTATGACATGCAGTCAAATACATCGACATAAAAGGTAACCGTCAGTCAGAATAGAAACGGTCAAGTAATTTACAAAATAATTGTGCCATCCATATACTATCCTATTTAAGCAATATGAAATCAGCCAGTATAAGCTGATTGCACAACTCAGCTGATAAATGCTACTATCAGTTTCAAAGTAAAGTACAGATAGACCAGAATGCTTAAGAGTATTCTTTTATCATTTGTTGATCTCAAAGCATTGGAAAAAGTGTCATCCAAGTGTCATTTGAGGAGAAACATGAAGTTGAGCAATGTGATTTGAATCAAAAAGTTCGTTATAGAGCTAATAACAGCTCAAATGTGATGGGTGGAAGCCTAATAAATGAAATTATTCATGAAAACAAAATTTTTATCCTTTTTTTTCTATTCACTAACCATTTCAGTCAACTTTTTTTTTTGACATAAACAAGGTTCCAATGAGTGATTCAACTTTGAACATAAAATCCATCATAATAAATCATTTACAGTCTCCTGTTATGGGATCAATGATTTATGAAAGGTTTTATGAAATATCAAGATGAAACAGACTTATATCATTATCTCTCAAATGACAGCTAACATTTAAGCAACTCCATATAATTTATTATGTGAAGCTAATATCGTTATTATCAGTGATTTGCATATTTTGAAAATATGCAAATGATAAAGTTTGTGCTAAGAATATGGAAACTGTTATAGTATTTTTGAACTTAGACGAGATGAAATTAAGATAGCAAGTGTTATCAGGCAATTTAGAAGCAGTTGCAGACGATGCAAAACTGTTGACGACGCAATGCGCAAATTGTTATCACTGGAACTTGCTATCAATTAATAGTTTCGCAATTATTAGTTTTTAGCAAATTTACAATATTGCAATGTCAAAATAATTCATTTTTCAACAGCTTTGCATTATTGCTTTAGTTATAAAATTTTTTGCGTTATCTTGGTATTAACAAATTGTTAATTAATTAGAACTCATAAAAGTGATTAAAAAACGAGTGTACATTACTGTATTGGGTGGAGACAATTTCAGCCAAAAAATAGTATTCATTAGTCATTGACAGACAAATGTTTAAGCTATTAAATTTTTCTATTACAATCGGATAAAAATGCAACTAATACACTTTTATTTTTTCTTTTCATTTTTTCAATCTTATCTTTTTACCATATTTTTTTCCTTTTCATTTCTTTTCTTGCATTTTTCTCTTGTCTTTCTCCTTTTTATTCCTCTTACTCAATGTTTTCAAATTTTTTAAAAGTGAAAGATAAACATTTGATCACAGAGTATGAAATATTTTTCACTTATTTTAGATATTTAATTTTCAGATTCCGTCTGCGCGAATATCGAAGAATATTGATTGAGCTGAAACAAGGCATTAATGGCAGCATCAAAGATTAAAGTTATTAAAATAATGTGAAAATGATAAAAATGAAACTAATGGTACAATACAAATAAAAGTAATAATAAAAATAATACAATATGATTTGGTTGATTAAATTGACTTATCTGACAAGCAATCATATCATAGTACACCTGAAATAACACTATCATTTTTGAGGAATATTATTTCTCTTCTTGAAAGATTTCCCAAGAAAGGAGAAGAAAAAGAGAGAATGTAAGATGGAGAAAATATCTTTCATTAGTTGAAAATAGAAATATTAATAAGCCGGAACTACCATTTCATACATATGCCGTACACGTTTTTTTTAAATTTTTTCAATATATTTTAAAGTTTCTAAGAAGAAAAATCATTAAAAAAATCATTAATTAAAAAATCATTGATTAAAATCATTAATTACGATAATTATCACTAGTCATATCATTTTCTTCATTTGGGACCTTTCTGCTGAATTCATTTATTTTAATATCATTAAATTGATTTGGTCAAATCATTATGTCCATTGAATATGTGCTGATCAGCTAAATATTAATTCATTTCTTCGATGTGAGTTCAAAATTGGAAGAAATAAGGACTCGATGTTAATTGATAAGGGGAAGGTATTCGGATTATAGATGATTTAATCAATAAATAAATCAACTAAAACGATTTCATGGCTTTTGGTAGCTATCTATTGAAAACTAGTAAACCGTGGTAATTCCAATCTTTCCTTTTTTTTGGAACTCTAATCTCTTTAAATAAATTTCGGTTCTTGATCCAACTTGGTACAGGTAAAATAAATAGTGTTGGATGTGGTGCCGGAGTTTATTGAGACCGAATTCAGCCTTAACAACTGATTGGCCTTTGCTTAATTGCTTCGGTTGCTATTTCGCATTTTCATTGGATAGTTTGGAAATGCCATGGAGGACCGAAAAAACAGACTGCATTCTTTTTAGAAAATATTGCATTTTTGTATTACAGTATATTGTTACTATGCGTGGAGTAGAATTTTGCCAACGTGAAGGCCCCTGAAAGCTTAATAAGGCTCTTTTATTTTCATTTAGTATTATTTTAGTTTAATACTGTTTTGAACTTTCGACTAGAAATGCAAGTGAGGGGAATAGATGTGTAGACGGCACGCCGAATACACCTTTAGCAGAACCGGAAAAACGTGATAGAGGAATGTGATATGACGGAAATGGGACAGATTTGTATGCTACTTTGTTAAGGTAGATGACCTCTGCATTTGTGAGATCAAAAGAGACAATTAGAAATGCTGATAAAAAAAACCAATATTTCTAGTTGTCTCTTTTGTCTCTTTTTTTCCAATTGTTTTCTAATTGTCTTTTTTTCTAATTCTCTTTTTTAAGAAAAATAGCTTTTTAAGAAATGAAAAGAGAGCTTCAAGACCAGCCAACAAATCCACTTGCTGACCTTAACGCTATTGGCTAACTCAGATCAGATTCAAAGTGTTAGCTAGAGTTAAATTCTTAGCCAATTTTCTAATTTTTGTAATTCGGTACTGTTTACTGTGTAATTTTTCTTGCATAATAATGTTCTGCATTCTCAATAACAACTGCCCATTTAACATTTCATCTTGGATAGTGCTTACTGATGAAATATTAAGGTCAAACGATCAATCCTAAACTCATCCATAGACTTCTTTAAATGTTCTCTGTACACAGTAAATTTTTGCAGCCGTTTCATCGACTGCATTCTTTCCAGAAACTTTACTATTCACATACTCCATCGATTCCCAGTTCTTGTTTGTGATTGCAAATCCGATTAATATGAGTTGTCTGATGACATTTCCAAATTAGAATTGTTTTCTCATAAAATTTATGGACGTTCTTTTTTCTAGACATCAATATTCGAAACAGTTGAAAAGAGACTTGCATAGCTACCAAACCTTTCCATCAGATCATTCCTGATTAATTATGATTCCTGATATGTCAGTTGATTTATTATACGGATTTATTTGCAATCACAAATATAAATTCTACCACAAAATTTCTCAGACATAAGATCGACTTTCTACATGGAGACACTTTGCCTTCTAGAAATTTTCGTAAAACTCAAACCAACCCATTCTTTATCCTCATTGAAAAAACTTTTTAAGGTATTCAGGCAAAAAATTTATTTAGAATGAGCATTGTAGAAATCCAAGTTATTACGGGTTAATGTGCCATTGTCATCGGTTGGTATTGCAGCGTTGTGCAATTGTCATCGGTTGGTACTGCAGCGTTGTGCAATTGTCATCGGTTGGTACTGCAGCGTTGTGCAATTGTCATCGGTTGGTATTGCAGCGTTGTGCAATTGTCATCGGTTGGTATTGCAGTAATGTTCAACTGTCACTGGTTGTACTGCATCAGTGTGCAACTATCATCGATTAAGATTGTAATACTCTGTAATTATTATCGGTTGAGGTTGCAATGTCCATAATGTTACATTCGAGACATTTCTGAGTGTTGCGTATTATAAAACAAACACAGAAAGCAAAAACTGTCTTTCCTCAACACAAATGAAGCTGGACAAATTCGTTGAAAGTTAGACACCAATTCTCCAAACGCAGAAAGTGTTTCGGATCCAGTCGAAATACTCCAGCCAAACTACTCCCAAATACTGTGGAGGTGGAGGTTCTCCTCCTCTTACAACCATAAGGACATTTCATGCGGCAGGCATTGGTATGTTACGCGGCACGAGTGATACAGGGAGCTTAACATGATGGGCCTTACGAGCATTGACAGGGTACATGATGCCTGGATGCAACTATGCCTGGCATTCACACTCAATGCGGATGGGTATCGGTTGCTTTTATCGCTTCTCAAAGCAACTCAAACATCAACCCAGCAGAAATCAGCAACCTCATCAACTCGGATGCGAGCCTGCGATGTCTCGGACGGAGTTTTTTGTTATTACTTATCAGTATTGGTTGACATCTGGCTTTTCCTTCCTTTCTTTCCCTTATCTGCCATCAGACTTCACCATCTTTTTCCAAGTCATAACCATCACAGGAATGTGCGGGAACCCTCTGCTAGGACCTCTGAAATGATATTGTGTCAGAAAGTGAATTTACTTACTTTGCTTCACTTCACGAGACTTCCCCTTTGATGACAGTATTTGATAAGAATATGTTGTTAGTCTCTTGAATATCAGTTGATGTGAATGTGAGTGACAACACGCATTGTTGGTTTTTACCCTCATTATTTACTTTTCTCGATTTTTTTTCTCATTCCTAAGTGGTTAACACTTCCTTCGTTACATTTAATTTTAACAATTTCAAAAAGCTACATTTTCTGATTTGCGATTAGATGATGAATTGCCAGTGAATGTAGTTGAGAGGCCTTGCTGACCCCTGACTCTTGCCAGATCGTTGGCGTTTTCTGTTTCCAAGGAAGAAGCTTTACCGTGAGGATTGCGTTCCAGGAGACTAACGAATTCCAAAAACTTCCAAGCATAAAAGATGTCATCTTTCCTGGCGGTGCCGTTGAAACATACGAACGAGGTGGACTTGGTGAAACCATTAATGAGTTATGTCGAGAATATTTATCAATCATCGAGTGAACTAAGCTCGGAAATTAGAGAAGCGATGCAAGAACTGAATAAGATGCGAAACAAAGCCTGCAATCAACCCTTGGATAAACATCAGAGTGCTCTGGATGTCCTGACGAGGTATGTATCGATTGTTCTTGTCTAGCAGTTTTGAATTGTGGGTAAATTAAACATCATCGCCTTTGTTCTTTCCGCATGGTTTTAGATGATTCAAATTTTATAGTTCAAACATTTGCAGATATTACGATCAGCTGGTGGCTATCGAAAACAAAATACCAATCACTGCTACTCAAAATCCTATCAACTTTAAATGGAAGGATGCCTTCGATAAAGGCTCATTGTTTTTCGGCCGAGCTTCACTGAGTATGTTTATGTGACTTTCCATGCCTTCTTATTGCATTTCTATACTGCTAGAATAGGTAATACTAAGAGTCCTATAACTTGTAATTTTCAATTTTTAGTCCGAACACTACGAACATACATTTACTAAAAAGTATCTATTGTAGGATGAACCCAATGTATGTTGGTCCATTGACAATGCTGTAATTTATGACTAGTGGTCCGTGCATATTTTGACGCTTCATTTTTTGCTTTACTTCATTTAACTTAATATGAATTAAACAACTGAATTTTCAGCTTTAAGTGATGGTGCATTCGAAAGAGCCGCTGTTTTATTCAATTGTGGCGCTTTGATGTCGGCGATTGCAGCTTCTCAACCAATGCGTACTGACGAGGAACTGAAAACAGCAGCGAAATTTTTTCAACAATCGGCTGGTATCTTTGCACATCTGAAGGATACGATCCTAGGGATTGTACAACAAGTTCGTTGGTTTTTGCAATTCTTTGAAATCGGATTTATCAGTTGTTTTATATATATAATATAAAATAACTCTCAATCACATGTTGTTTTATATAATGCACTATTTCTTTCGGTGGTAATTCCGTCTTTGACCTAAAATGCATATGGGTTTCGAGAAAATAATCCATTATTTACCTATACTCTATAGATCCATGCACTGATTAAAATTTTAGTCGCCACTGATCGCGATCTTTTTATCAGCAACATTTTTTGTAGTGACATAACGTTACATATTTAGGTCATTTGAGTATTAAAAACACACTGCTAATAATTTTGTTGGATGATGGAAAAAGTTGCACACTTATCATATTGTCATATTGATGTCTTATCATATCGTATTGATGATTCATCGCTGATTTATCGATTGATGTTATCACTTTCAAAATACCGCTAAACAAAAAAAGATTCGACATCTTTAGGAATCGTAATGTTGTGATTCCTTTCCAGGAACCAACTCCGGACCTTATGCCTGATACATTGTCAGTGCTTTCGGCAATTATGCTAGCTCAAGCACAGGAAGCCATCTACATCAAAGCTGAAAAAGGTTTGTTTCTCTCATTCTTACATAGGTAGAATTGAATGAATAAAGCGGAAATGATCAAGTGGAAGAGGGTAATAATACTCTTTTATAATGCAGTTCCCTTTTGAAGGAATTGGACCACTTTTTAGATAAAATGAAGCCACTTGCACTGATAAAATTAGCTGCACAATGCGCGGAGAATTATCATGAAGCTCAGAAGCAACTGCAAAAAGATGTCGTGAGAGGTTTATTTGACAAGGTTGTTACTGTCATGTATCTTGTCTATTTCACTTCGATTGAAATTTTCCAATTTATTCAACGTTGTATAAAAATTTAAAAATTTAACTGTGTGCAAATTTGACGGGTGACCAGTGCTGTATGCACATGATTTTTTTTTCTGGTTAGACTTTTTCATTCATGATGTGGTTGTCACTTTTTGAAATGATTTTTTCCATCGAGTTTCGCCTCATGGCTTTTATATTATGTATTTTTTTCACCTCTTTTTTCTTTTTTTTTTACATATGGACATCATGTTACAGGAATGGACAAATACTTTAAAAGGCAAAGCTTTTGGACTTTCAGCGCTCGCTCAATATCATAAAGCAGTGGACAATGCAGATTCGAAGAATATAGGTTTGTTACTTCAATTATGAGAAATATACACTTAGGAAAAGTATGTATTTCTTTACCGAAATACGAAACATTTTGTGACAATATTTCGAAATTTTTTCATTATCTGTTGACTTTGATACACCCGAGTTTGAATCATGGAACTGGCATTATCTCTTTTTTCTACATGAAACACACGCATGATGGCTCTCGATTGATAGTTTGGTCTTCTTCGTAATTTCCTGTAAGATTCGTCCGATGGCGTACTGACTCGTGGCACAGGAGAAAGTTTGTTCATTTATAAAGGTGCTCGAATTCCAGGTGAACAGTTAAGTCGATTAACTGAATCACAGTCTCTTATGCAGCAGGCAGTCAGTTGTATGCCTCATGGAACATTTGATGTGCAATATGCAGCTATTCAGAAAGCATATGCATCAGCTAAAAAGGATAATGACTTCATTGTAATTTTTCGATAATTTTTTAGCTCTTTAAAATTCAAAATTCTTTTGTTTTTTGCTTTTTTTCCATAAGCAGTTCGATTATTTGTTGAGAAACTCAGTAATTCAGTGGTTGAGAGAGAGAGCGTTTCAAGTAATGGGCCTATTTGGTAATTTTAGCTACATGTGTCTCTACATTACTTCTCAGCTCAGCCAAAAAAACAGGTCATAATCTTAGCAGGTTGTATCTTAGCAATCATTTCTCGATTTAGTTGTTTTATTTTTAGTATCACGAGAGGGTCGCAGATTTTCGAAGTTTGCCACACTTACCTAAGGCTGCGGTTGCTAAAATCACACCTGTTACTTTTCCAATGACACCACGATTTAAAGGTATAACTGATATTTGTGACTTTCGATTAATTTTGCAATTTTTATTTTACGAGAGGAAATATGAGTTAGTTTTTTATTACAGTCAGTTCTTCCGGTTAAAATATTACGAATACTAAATAATTACCCAAGTATGAGATTTGTTTTTATTTGCCATGTTCCTCTCTAGTTTTTCATTTGTTACTTAGTTTTTCGTTTTTTGTCACTTATTAATACCAGAATTTTCTTTATTGCAGACATGTTTTCAAATCTTGTACCGGTTCAAGTACATCAAGCTACAGCATCTTTTGATGCTCGAAAGTCGGAAGTTATCAATGTAGAAACTGGGCGTCTCCGTGAACATACTCAAATAATGAATGGGTAAATTAATTCTGAGGTCCTTGCTTCAGTCTAAGCTCTTGGGAATGTAGAGAAAATGAGGGATGAAATCTAAGGGTTCCATATGATTTTGTGAAAGGCTGATACTATCCGTTGGAAGTTCAGTATTTTTGTTCGATCTCTAGTTGAATATGGTTTGTTATATGATTCATTATAGGATATTGGCATCTCTAAATTTGCCCGCCGCCTTGGATGACGTGACAAATCACGAAATATTGCCAGAATCCATTCGACAAAAATCTTCCAAAGTTAAGTCCTTGGGTGGGATTGATGCCCTTGACATGACTACAACATAACAATGCATACAATGAGAAGCTAAGCGGAAGTACAAGAAAGATTCTTCCTTTAATCATTGTCAATATACACACAAATTCGAACCATAAGATTTAATCAGAAATCGTGTTCACTCAGAATTACGCATACCTTTTAAATTGTA